GAGAAATCAGACACTGTAAAATAAATCCAAAAGATGAAAATTAGAAAACAATGTGAATATCTCATTGGAAAACAATGACCTGGAAAATAGATCCAGGAGAGACAATTTAAAAATTATTGGACTATCTGAAAGCCATGATCAAAAAAAGAGCCTAGACATCATCTTTCAAGAAATTATCAAGGAAAATGCCCTGATATATTAGAACCAGAAGCAAAATAGAAATTGAAAGAATCCACAGATATCCTCCTGAAAGAGATCCCCAAAGGAAAACTCCTAGGAATATTGTTAGCCAAATTCCAGAATTCCAGGTCAAGGAGAAAATCTTACAAGCTTCCAGAAGGAAACAATTCAAGTACTGTGGAAACACAATCAGGATAACAAGATTGCAGCTTTACATTAAAGGACCGCAGGGCATGGAATATAATCATCTGGAGGCAAAGCAGATAGGATTACAACCAGAATCACCTACAGCAAAACTGAGTATAATCCTTCAGGGGAAAAAATGGTCATTCAGTGAAATAGAGGACTTTCAAACATTCCTGATGAAAAGACCAGAGCTAACAGAAAATTTGACTTTCAAATACAGGATCCAGTGGAACATGAAGAGGTAAACAGGAAAGAGAAATTTGTAAAGACTTATTAAGATTGAACTGTTTACATTCCTTGCATGGAAAGATGATATTTGTAACTCATGAGAACTTTGTCAGTATTAGGGTAGTTGAAGGAAAAAAATTGTATGTATGTATATATAGATAGATAGATAGATAGATAGATAGATAGATAGATAGATAGATAGATAGAGGGCACAGGGTGAGTTGAAGATTAAGGGGTCATATCTGGAGAATAAAATTAAGGATGAGAGAGGATGATACTCGGAGAAGAGAGGAAGGGTGGGGTAAATTATCTCACAAAAAAAAACAAAAAGAAAAGTCTCTCACAGTGGAGGGGAAACAGGGGAAGGTGAGAGGGAATGAGGGAATCTTATTCTCATAGGATTTGGCTTAAGGAGAATAACATACACATTCAATTGGGTATGGAAATCTGTCTTACCCTACAGGAAAATAGGGGGAGAAGGGGACAAGAGAGCAGGGGGTGATAGAGAGGAGGGCAGATTGGGAAAGAGGGTAATCAGAAGCAAATACTTCTGAGGAGGGACAGGGTCAAAAGAAAGAATAGAATAAATGGGAGGGCAGGATAGGATTAAGGGAAATAGAGTTAGTTTTTCACAACATGTCTACTAAGGAAGTGTTTTGCATAACTGCACATGTACAACCTATATTGAGTTGCTTGCCTTTTCAATGAGGGTGGGTGGGGAGGAGGAAGGGAGAAAATTTGGAACTCAAAGTTTTAAAAACACATGTTATTAAAAAAATGTTTTCACATGCAACTGGGAAATAAGAAATACAGGAAATGGTACAGAAGTCTATCCTGCTCTACAGGAAAATAGAAGGGGAAGGGGATAAGAGAAGGGAGGGGGAGAGATAGAAGAGAAGGCAGACCAGGGAAGGGGTATTCAGAATGCATGCCATCTTGGAGTGGGGGGAGGGGTGAGAAATTTGGAACTCAAAAACTTGTGGAAGTGAATATTGAAAACTAAAAATAAATAAATTTATATTTAAAAAAAAGTAGAAGCCCTGCTATTTAATACAGATATTGAATGAAAACAGTCTCTTCAATGAGATACATGCAGTTAAAAATAAGTTCCATTGGAGTAGAGTTGATTTATGTGATGGAAGAAAAACTTTCCTTTTCTTTTGTTTTTAATAAGAGAAAGAGATTACAACAGCTGCCATGCTTCATCAAATGTATCTTGATCCAATAGTTCAATTCTACAAGCATTTACCGTGTATCCATTCCATGCTCCACTGGGTGCAGTGACCAGTAAGGGAGTAAGGAACATGTTAGAAATATGATCATTGTAATTAAAATTCCTATAACACATTAAGTAAACTAATAACTTACATTTGCATGAAACTTTCATGTTTACAAAGTATTTCCTCAAAATAATCAGATAAAGCAAATAGTTTAAGAATTATTATTTTTATTTTCCAAATAGAGAAATGGAGGCTCAGAGCGTTTAAATGATTTTTCATGAGTACACAGCTAGTTTCAGAGCCAGGACTCAAGTGTCTTGACAAGAGGTGATTAAAACAGATGATCTCCAACCATGTTTCCAACTCTTTATCCTGTAAGCTTTAAAATTGCATAAATTCTTATAATTTAAGCTGACAGCACTAATTACAGGAAATTAACTGATTTTGCCTCATCAGTTGACAGCTGACATGTCTTTCTTCTGTATGGCCGTGACCTTTTCCTTAATTTTATTTTCTTTCTCTTGCCATGGATTTGTCTGGCCATGGCTACTATGTCAGTACTCTCTGGAACCTAATTCTCTAGCCCTCAGTTGTAGGGAATGGGAATCAAAGATTTAGATAAATCATTTCTCTGACTCTGACTCTACCCTTACATCTCCATTCACATCCCAAGTCATTTCCTCAATACCTGAACATGACCCCTAGTTATGGCTCTCCTAAGAAAGTTTTTTTTTTCCCTAGATCTCCTCAGGAAGTGACTTTTTCCTTATCTTCATTCCATAGTTATCTCCTGGGACATCAGACTTTAGAGTCTGGTGAAATGCTTGTCTTCTAAGGTCCTTCCTTCCCATTCCAGCTTGCCACAGGATTCCTCACTCAGACTGACAGCTTAAGGACTGGGAGACCCATATCTCACTCACATCACAGCACTTCACATTTTAGTGTTTCTATGCCCTGGCCTTTTTGGAATATACTTCCTCTCTCTTGGTCCTGTCTCCTACTTCTGGCTAATTCCCTGAAGCAAAATCTATGAGATGTATCTTTACAGCTACAACAGTTTTTTATAATTCAATTCAATTCAATAAGCATTTATTGTGATCCCTAAGGGTCACTGGGTTTTTCCATCCACATGGCAACTGAACTCTGCTAAAGCAGAGACTGGATGAGTTTTCTGTTTGGAGTCTTAGTGCTTATATAGCACAATGTTTTGTATGCAGTAAGTGCTTAATAAATGCTTTTCTGTTCAACTTCATTTCCCTTACTATGTACAATTCATTTTGTTAGAAACAGAAGATTCAGGGACAAACCTGACACAATTCCTGCTTTGAAGGAGTTTACAATCTACTAGAATAAGATTATTTCTTGCCTACAAAGACAGCCTATGAAGCAGCATGGGTAGTTGAATGAGATGGGCTGCCAAGTCTCCTTCCAGTTCTGTGGTTCCATTAACTCTAAGCAGCAGTAGTAGCAGGGGCCCAACTGATGCTATGTTAGAAGTTTGCTATTGCCTTTTTAGAATCTAGAGGCTCATGGAATCACCTAGGTCTTTCTTTCTGTCTCTGTTTCTCTGTTTGTCTCTCCATCTTTTCTGCCATAGTTGGCTTGAAATAATTCCATTTTACATTGACCATTTACAATGTCCATTGTTTATGAAATTGTCAACTTTACCTTATGACCCTAGAGTGATGTCTGGATTTTCTTTGGAGGTCATATGATGATTACATGTTCTAGTCCATAATGATGGGGGGAGGGATCCTCTTCTGTGTCACTTTAAGCACATGGTCCCTCATAATTTTGAAGCCTCATGCCCCACTTTATCTTCTCCAGATTTTTATTTATCGGCCTCTTGCTACAAAATCAGTGGTAGGATATTAATAACTAATATACTATGGAGCTAAAAAGTCATATGCATTTTCCCTTGGTCTTTCTGATTTCTATGTCTGTCCTGTTCTGATCCCTCTCCTCTGGGGCTCAAGCAGTCCAATTTCTCATCCGAGAATTCAGAATTCTCCATAAGAACAATATTAGGCATTATAGGGCATAATAGTACACAAACTTCCCTCTCTTCTACATTAATAAGGACAGATTTTGTCATTGTATAAGCCTTCATGGTCACTGCTGTAATGAATAATTGGGGATTAAGGAAAAGTCACTGTGAACTGGTGTCTTTAATTGATTCAAACTCAATATCTATTGTGTGTGAAAATACTGAAGTATTTTTAAAAAATAGAGTACAGTTTTATGCAATCAGCATTCACACTTTCATTTGTAGCCAAAACAATGAAACTTAAATAGGAATTTTCTATATCAATCTAAAAATATCTTAGGATTTAAAATACTTTCTTCACAAAATATAGAAGTCATGTCTACGATTGTCTCTCTGGGGACTTAAATATACTTTAGATTATAACGGATATTAATTAGATAATCTTATCTTAGTCTCCAGTGGGTATTCATTTCTTGGTATAGTTTTTGAATATTTATTTCAAAAGAGGGTGGAATTAAATGATCGTAGAGGTTGAATCATTTTCTGTATTTCTGAAGAAAGAGAACCTTAGGGGCAGCTAGGTGGTGCAGTGGATAGAGCACCAGCCCTGAAGTCAGGAGTACCTGAGTTCAAATCTGGCCTGAGACCAAACACTTGACACTTACTAGCTGTGGGACCCTGCGCAAGTCACTTAACCCCAACTGCCTAAAAAAAAAAAAAGACAAAGAAAGAGAACCTTAAGTCTAGCCAGATAAAGATCTGAAAGGGGTAAGTCTGTACTATTTCAATGACTTGATTTAGAATAAACAAAGGGCTACCTGTAAACCTAATACTGGTTCTTACTGCTCTTTCAAGACCAAGAAGTCTCTGTAAGGGCTGTAAAATCACCTAAAGTCACAGCATCACAGAATTTATTTAGGTCACTCCTTCTTTATCCCTGCTGGCAATTACAGCTCACTCAAGAGTGAATAGGCTAGGTAAATCTGAGCTGTATAGATCAGAGCCAGCATTCCTGAAGTTGTTGACTCAGTCATTCCTGCCATTCAAATCTGTTCTGTAGTCATTGCCATGTTATTGACCCATTCCTATTCCCGACCCAAACACTAGTTTAGTTTAAATCTTGCTAGGCTCTTTTTTTGTGACTTTGTGAATAGATTTCTCTGTTTCACTCATGGATATGTCTCTGCCTTGTCTCTTAGGACATTTTTGATGATTGGGACCTGTGGCTTCTTGTCCAGGTAAATTTTTGCTTATCTTTCCTCTATAGGGGTTAGTTGAGCAAAGAGGTGATAGTTTGTTCACTGAAGAGCGAAAGGAAGTTAAAATTTATGGGGCCTGCTATATCCTTAGAGAATAATAATTGGAACAACTGATCACAATCAGCATTTTCAGTGTGTTCAATCTGCAAAAACAGGGTTTGGGGCTTGGGGTGGGATTGAAAGTGTTATAGAGAAGGGTCTTGTTCAGTAAAGAATGATGATGGAGTAACCCAATAGTGCTAAAGTTTAGATTCTGAGACAGGATGTTCTGAGGTGAGTGGCACTGATCTGTACCAGATGGCTTTTGACAGAATGGTTCGGAGTCAAGCTGTGGTGCTCTGGGCTGTTGGGGGGTTTTCGACCCAGGTTCTGAGTTCAGTTTCAGGCCAGGCAACTCTGAGACTTCATGTTCCTCTGGGGAGGGATGAAGGGAGTCCAGTAAGAGATTTATCTATCTATCTATCTATCTATCTATCTATCTATCTATCTATCTATCTATCTATCTCTATCAATCTATATCTATATCTATCTATCTATCTATATACACACACATACACATGTATTTTTATATATATGGGTGTCTGTGTGTGTGTGTGTGTGTGTGTGTGTGTGTGTATCCCAAAGGTCTTAAAAACATACCCAAATGCAACTTCATGTTGTGTTATAATAATGACTTGACTTAACGTCTTTTAAATGACCCTAATAGTCACATTAATGCCAAGAATAGCTATTTACATCTGCCTTAAAACTTGGCAGGGGTGGGGAGGGGTAGAGGGGTAGAGAAGTGGGGGTTGGTGGGAGGGGAATCTAAAATCTTATTATTGAGGAGAATCCCCCCCCCCGGGCGGATTACGACCTATTTGTGCCTTGCGTTCCATGTCTTTCTTCAAATGTGCAATTGAAGAGCTATCCAAGGCTTTGGAAGACTTCCTATGGCATTTTAAACAAATAAGAAAAAAAATAATTACTTAAAGAAACAAACTATTTGCTTATATCAATTTACAAGGAGAATGTTTTCCTCATATTTTGTTTTGTATACTTTAGAATATTCCTGGCCTGAGGCTCAAAGCATAGTTCACCCCCTAGAGAAAGAAATTGCCTGAGAGAACTTTTCTGATAGTTTACAAAAATGAGACAAAATGATTCAACATGAGAGATGTATCCATTTGTTTATGTTATCCATAAAGAGGCCAGACTGTTGTTTATTACTCTACTCTGCTTATCTGAAAATTCTTCTTTGTGATGGTAATTTCTTAGGCTGTACATAGTACTCAATTTACAGCAGTAAAGACTCTTCTCTTTGGGGCCCACTGTACTTTTTGTCTGCTTTACATTGGTGGTGTCTTATTTGTATTTACATTTAATTTTCTCTGGTTAGGGAGAAGAAACATGACTATGATAACTTTAGTCCTTTTTCCAGTACAGCACTTATTTTCATTCAAGTCCTCCAGGATCCTCTGGGTCTTTTATTCTAGCTAGAAAAGCAGCAGGGCCTAGTAGATAGAGAGAGAGGTTCAAGTCCCATCTCTGACATACTTGCTGTGTGACCCTGGCCAAGGTACTTGCTGTCTTTTACAAAGGCCACTCTCTAAATGACATATTGTTTACCATCTTACTTTACACCCAAAACATGCTTAATAAATTTGTTTCGGGTTGAACAGAGGTAGAAGCTACCATTGTGAGACTTCTGACTGGTTTCTAGGAGTCTATTCATTCTCTAGGCCCCAATTTTTGTAGGAGCTACTTGGGTGCTAGTGTTGCCTGTGCCTCCTTTGGTTTATGAAAAGTCCTTTACAATCCCTAATATTGTCTATTTCAGAACCTGCTGCATAGCTAGGCTCCAACTGATCTCGGCGCATAGAAACCTTTATGTAAAGGAATTTATATACTTGGGAAACAGAATCAAGTAGAATGAAGAAATTATACATAATACGTGCCAATCAACACTGTCTTATATGGTAATAGCTTGCATATATACATATATATATACATAAAGACATATAAATATGTGAGTTTTATATATAAAAAATGATATATGTACATGCATACACACCTATATAGTTGTGTTCAAACATATACACGTATGTGTGTTGAAGCTTTATAAGAGGGTCTGTACAAAGCATTTGCCAAGGATGCTTTTGAGAGAATTCTTGTATAGATGCTAACAGTGGATAGAATACTGGACTTGGCATCAGAAAGACCTGGGTTCAAATTCTGCCTCTGTCACTTAATGGCTATGTCACTTTAAGCTTTTTCAGCCTTAATTTCCTCATTTGTAAAATGGCACCATCCATCTCTACAATATTTAGGGGTGTTGTGAGGTTCAAAAGAGACAATATTTGACAAGCTCTTTGCAAATTTAAAGCACCATATAAATGCCAGCTACTGTCCGCACTCTCATAACCACCTTGCAACATCTGTAGCACATTTATCTTATCCTCATTTTATAGATAAGGAAGTTGAAGAGATGGCTGGGAAGTGACAGCGAAGACTAGTTTTAGGCAAGATAAGCCAAAAAGTCATTTGGGAAGGAGGACTCATTTGATCTCTTGAAGCACAAAGAGATTGAGTAATTTGCTGAAGATCTCACAAGGAGTAAGTGATAACACTGGTATTTGACTTGGGTCTTTTGACCCTAACATTTACTCATTCCAATATATCATGATGCTTCTCTCTAATCATTTAACTTGATTAATCAGTGGCTCCCTATTACCTCCAGGATCAGATATAATATTCACTAACTGGAAATTAAGTCTTTCTAGTCTGGCTCCTCCAAATCTTTCCAGTCTTCTTACATTTTATTCCTCAACTCACACAATCTACCATCCAGTCACCTGGCCAGCATTAGGAATTGAATGTTCTCCTATATCTCTCCTCCCTCTCTTAGCCAAACTTGAAAGAGTTATCTTTCTTTTTTTTTTTTACTTTCTTCCTAACACCTTTTCTCTTACTTCTAACATCGTTGATCAACCAAAATTACTGTTTCCAAAGTCACCAACAATCTTTTAATCACCAGACCTAATGACCATTTCTAGATCTTTAATCTCCCTGACCTCTCTTCTACTATTCACTATTTTCTTCTTGGATACTCTGTCTTCTCTTGAAAGTCAGGACATTGCTCTCTCCTGGTTCTCCTCCTGCCTGAATCAGCACTCCTCTCCAGTCTCTTTTGCTGATTCATCTTCAGTTTCATACCCAAAGTAAGCCTTATTTTAAGTCCTTTTCCTTTTTCTCTTTCAAACTCTCTGTTACTATATTACCAATTAAGGTACCACTATCCTCAGAGTCTCAGAAGACTGGAAAGCTAAGAAGAGGCCACTTTCTTCATGAAGCCTTTCCTGCTGCCACAGTTGCTAGTTTATTCCACTCCCTCCAAAAACTACCTTGCAGATATTTTCTATATATTTTGCATATACTGTACACTTGTATGTTGACATGATTCCCTTTGCCCCGTAAGCTCCTTTATGAGAGGGACTGTTTCACCTTTGTCTCTGTATTTCCAAAGCTTATCTATGTGCCTTGCACATCATAAGGACTTAATAAAAGGTTGGTGATTAAAATTAATTGAATGCATGTCAAGCCATTTATCTGTATATGATGTCAATCAAAAAACTTGGATTGACAGAAGTTAGGTGTTCTTATAGAGACTGCTAATTTAATGTGAGAGAGTGTTACATAATGTCTGGCCCACAGTGTTGGTCAGGAAGACCTGGTATCAAGAACTGCCCCTAATATGCCCCTGGCTATGTGACTTTTGGACAAATCCCGTAGCTTCTCAGTACCTCTGGTACCACTCTGAGAGTTGAAGAAAGGCTGCTTCTTGGCCTTAGCTAAGGCAGTTTTCTCATCGAGTTCCTTTTCCCCATTAAATCACAGGTCTGCCCCCTTGCCCCACCCCCAAATAATCCCATATGATCTAGATCTGGAGAGCACCTTGAAGGCCATTTAATACTATTATCTTATTTTACGGAGAAGGAAACTGAGGCACTTTGAGGTTTTAGTGCTTTAGCCAGGATTGCACAGGTGATAAAGAATAGAGCTGGGTCTCAGGTACAGGCTCTTTGAATTCAAGTCCAGTGCAGCATTGGCATCCTTTCTCTTTCATACCCTTCCCTCCCCCAAATCTGTGGGCAGTCAAATAGATCTAAGACTAGAGTGGGAATAGTAATTTTCATTTTAAGCAGATTATAAATCTAGAGTAGGCCTGTGACATAAAAGACAAATGAAGACTGATTAATGACCTGTGCATGAGAGAGGAGAGAAAGCCAAATAGGTTTGAAAATTTAAAAGAGCCTGATTGAATATCTTTTAATCTTATGAGATGAGAAAACAAAGCAGAAAAAAGTAATTAAAATAATGGAACTAGAAACTCTGAATAGCTTTTCTAAGTGTCTGCCACTAATTCAATGTAGATGAATGGAGGAGGTGAATATCCCAAATGACTTTCATGAATGCAGCTGAAAATGTTAACTTTGAAGGCAATACAGAGCAATTTAGATAACGTCTTAACCCTAACTGAATGAAGGAATGCAGTGGAATGCAGTGGAAAATGAAAGCACACGAACATTAAAGTCAGAGGATCTGGGTTTAAATTCTTCCTCTGTTATTTACCTACTTAACTCTTAGACACCCTAGTTATAAAATGGAGGATGTTAACATGGGTATTACCTACTTGGTAGGTTTCTCTCTGAAAACACACACACACACACACACACACACACACACACACACACACACACACCCCACCATCACCACCACCACCACCACCACCACCATCATACCACACTACACCAGAGACCCAATATTCTTTCAGTGACTCTAGATGGTTATAAGTCATGGAATACCACAGTTTCTGAGAAATTAAAATCATGGAACATCCAAAGGCAGTGGAGAAAAATATGGTTAACTTAACCAGTTTGTAGCACATTTTACTGATGATCAATTATGTGCAAGAAGGAATGTAAAAATTGTCATCCAAAAGCCAATGAACCAAAAGAAGGAGGTGGGCTCAGTGCCCAAGCAATGTCGAGACACCCAGAAGAAAGCCCCCAGGAGGTTAAGTGTACTGCCTCCACCTCTCTATGGGTGATTTATGATCAGGTATGGACAAGAGTTGCTCAAGATGAGAAGGCATGGCTAAGCTCCAATCTCTGTTCTTTGGTGGTATGTCCATAGTTATGGGATCATAGATATAGGGGAGGAAATAAGTACTCCCTGCCTTACAGCATCTTTGATCAACCAACTATTCAGTTCTTATTGTGCATCTAGCCTACTATGTGCCAGGCACCATGCTAAGTGCTAAAGATAAAAAGAAAAGGAAAAACACAAACAAAAATTGAAAAACAATCTGTGCTCTCAAAGAACTCACAGTATGGAGGAAAGCATTTTATAAAACTTAAAACATCATAGAAATGTGATCTATGATTATTACTTAGAAACAAAGCTTGGATAAACGAGTCTTAATGGTGGTAAGTGGTCATGTTAATGACAGGAAGTAGGCATAGTGATCATAACTCAGGATACAGAATGCATCCCATCATACCACATTCCTTTTTTATGAACCATTATTTCAAAAGGCAGATATAGCAGAAGAGCAGCTTGTCCAAAGAAATAAACAAAAATAAGGGGGAGAAATGAGGGGGTAAAAAAAAAATCTATGAATGCAATTATTGAGCAAAGAGCTCAACTTTCTTTGGCAGAAGGTTTAGCTTTCATGAGGGATAAGGAGAGAATAAAGAAAGAATAGGCAGATTTATAACCCAGGAATGGGATAATAGAATCCAGAATGACTTAAATAGGGATATAAATAATGAGGAACACAAAATAAATGAATGCTTCTGGGAAAAGTGTTCCACAAAGGAATTTTCCTTAAATTAGAAAATAGAACAAAGGCTTAGTATAATGTATGGCACGTAGAAAATACTTTTAAATTCTTATTGACTTGATTTGACTTGAAATACTCTAATCTGGGCATGGAGAAGGAAGGGTCAGAAAATTTGGGGTGGTAAATAAATAAAGCAAAGACTGATAAATTTGTAATTTGTGTAAATTCAAGGAGCTTTGGATAGGGCAGGTAAATGGGACCAGGGGGCTTTGAGAATAGACTATGATTATAATGTAGGAAAAACTAATCATGGGAACAAAGTGCAGATAACTTTGTGAAAGAGAATGAAATCAATCAGAAAACGTACCAACATTTTGAGAATATAGCTACAGCAATTTTTAGAGTACAAAATTTAGATCTGTTTTTTGAAACCTAACAAAATTCATAAACTTTTAACTTAATGGATAAAAAGAAAAAAATCAAATTATCATAATTTCAAAAATGAATAATGAAACTTCACAATGAAAAGAGAAGAAACTTTTTAATGTAATAAGAATCAATTATATACAATTATATGCAAGAAAACTCAAGAATTTAAGGGATTCCACCATCTGGCTCCAACCCACTTTCTGAGAGCTTATTCTTGAGGGAAGATAAGGATACTGAGAGGTTGAGATGGAACTAAGGAAGGACCAAATTCCAATCATAGGGCATGGATTATGTGAGCATGACTTAACTCAGGAAATATGTATTATGTTCCTACTATTATAGGTTTCTGGTATTGTGCTGAGTCAGAAGCCAAAACAAAAAGTTCCTGACATCAAGGACTTACACTCTACTTGAAGAAACACACATGTGCATAGAGAAGTAAAAAGGAAATATATATATAAAACAAATATTAAGTCATTTTAGCAGGTGGGGACAATATGAATTACTGAGGATATCAGGAAAGGTGATCTATGTCTGTATCTACACACATATACGCACATATCTTCATACACACATATACATGTATATGTGTGTATATATACATATGCACATATGGTTGGTTGTTGTCTTCTGTTCTCAAAGAGGACCAAAATGATATCACTATGTTAGAGTCAAGTTACAGTGGATCAGACTGTGCCTGATCAGACTAATATGAGGGTAGAATGCTCTATCACAGGTTGGGCACAAATAGTCCATATGAACATTAAGAGTGGATTTTCTAAATTTGCACATCTTGTATTTCTTTTGAGCTATTTCAATTCTTCTTTGCTCGTAGAGCATAGCACCTTCTCTGATGAGGGCACAGTATGCTGGGTGGTCCTGTGCCAGTGTCTCCCATGTCTCACAATCAATTCCAAAGTTCTTAAGAGAGACCTCAAGAGTGTCCTTGTATCACTTTTTCTGACCGCCATGTAAGTGCTTGCCTTGTGTGAGTTCTCCATAAAATAATCTTTCAGGCAAGCGTATGTTTGGCTTGAGCAAAGTGGTCAGCCAATCAGAGTTGTACTCCCTGCAGTAGAGTTTAAATGCTTGTTACCTTCATTTACCTTCCTTCCTATCCCTTATTCCTCCTAAACCCATTCCTCTTTCTCTTCTAATTCCTTTGTCCCTCTCTGTTTTCTTGGCTTATTACCATAGATTTTGCCTTACTGACTTTCTGAGTCTGGATACCTGTAGATGATTGATTCAATTACACATAGCTTCCACCTTTGCCTTTGATGATCATGAATCTCAAGCAACCCCTTATATTTGCTTTATCTGCTTCTACTCCCAAATTGCTAAAACCTGTTGGAGGAAGTTGGGCAACCATGCTTATAGATTCCACTACAAATTTATAATTTTAGCAGAGCCCTAACTGCAGAATAAAATTATGACTATCCATTGTGAATTCACTCACATCATCCACTCCACATATCAAAACTCATCCACATCTTCTTCAGTCTTCTCCTCCTGTGCTGCAATTGCTAAGGCAAAGGTAGGCCTTCCCTTTGCTTATACCCTTGTTCTCATTTCCTCCTATTTGTCCATCTACCCTGTTTCCCTCTTGATAATTTCCCTCTGTTTTTCTCAGCTCAATCTCTCTTTATCTATAGGCTCCTTCCTGCTGCCTATGACATGCCCAGATCTTTCCCATCTTTTACTTGAGAAAACCTTAGTATCCTTTGACCTGGGGAGGCTTGAGACTTAACTAGCTCTGGAGAGGATTACCAGAGTGAGGTATTATCTGGAGAAAGCAAAATTTCCATTATGGCAATTTTAAGAAAACAGTGTGAGAAGAAGACACTCAGAATGAAGGATGGATTGTTAATTATGGTGATTTCCAGAATGTAAATTGGAAAGAAAGGACAGTGCATAGTAGGAACTAGAAAGGGATCAGGGTGCCGTGGATGGGAATAAGAGTGTCAAGAGAGGTAGCAGGAGAGAAGCATTCTGGGAAAGAGAAGTATGTAGAAACAAAATAGGCTTACTTAGATTGGGTAGAACTTTAAGCTACCTATTGATTTCTTAATATTAGTTCCAACCATTAGATGAAAATTAGAATTCAGACTTTCTGACTCATGCTGTTACTTTAAAGAAATATAAAGTTAACTTTGTAAACCAGGCAGGAAGTATTCATTAAGTTGACCAGATAAACTGCTGTGTGTAAGAACATTCATTGTGAGTCCTGGCTTTGATGCTTACTGGCTGTATAACCTGGACAGCTGTTTAAATCTCTCTGAACTGCATTTTCTGAGACTTAACATTCTGGTTGACAGATTCTGAAGATGGTAAGCAAATCCGAATTTCAATGATTTCATAGCTCAGAAACACAATTTTTCCCAATGCTTATCCAATTTACCATCTTCCTATTGAGTATGATTACCTTTCCCACATCTGCCAGAGTGTGGCAGTGGTTGTTTAAAAATTTCCAGATCATTTGCCTTTGCCATTTAAAAAACAATATCATTTAATTTTGTTCCAAATACCATGGCTAAATTAAACTTAGCCATAAAGGTTGCTATTGATGTAGGCAAACTATATCAATACTCATATAATGCTACCAGAACTGTTAGGTAATCCAGGAAGTAAATATCAGAAGTGGATGAAGCAATAAATTTGGGACCTCAATGTCAAATAATTCCTCCAAGACAAAAAAAAAAAGAAATACGACATGAGAATTTCTTTTCCTGTCTTCATGACTCCATTTGTTGCACTTAGTATATATCTAAAACCAAGAGTTCTCATTATTTGTCATGGAGATAAACTGAAATCCTTTCCAATAAATTTGAGGGGGTAGAATAAGGATCTTCTTTGTCATCATATCTATTGACCTAGCACTACAAATGCTTGCTTTCTCAGTAAAGCAAGAAAATGAAACTGGTGGAATAACCATAGGTAAAGAAGAAACAAAATTACCCGTTTTTTGTTGTTCACCACTTCAAGGACCCATCATCTCATTGGGACAGATATTCTCTTTACTAACTAAGCTGTCAGCCCCTTTATGCATCAGCACACTGGTGTCTGTAAGTTACTGTGGCTAAACATAATGTAGCACTGAGCAACATGCTTCTGGTGATGTGCATTTCTTTGGCAGGCTGCTGCTTAGATGCATGGATTATTGCTATATTCATTATCACAGTCTTTTCAAATGGATAGGATCTGCCAGAGCTGTGGCCTGTTACCTTTGTCCTGGAGAATCCAGGGACACCATTACATCATGATGAAATATTTGAACAAGAATTCTATTCAATGAAACTTTTTGAAATAATGAAATTACAGTAAAAAAAAACTGATAGAAGTGTTGAAATATAGCATCATGGCAAGAAGAAGGAGAAAAGTATGGTTTTTCTCTCCCACAGATGTAATTTCTACACAATAATTAACCAAAAGTTAAGGAAAGGAACTATGTGGGATAAAGAGGCATCAATATCACTGTCTGAGGTGGTCATCTGCTTACATCATTGGATTTAATCCGTATCCTGTGAGGTAGGTAAGTGCAAATAGTATCTTCTCCATTTCAAAGATGAGGCAAAAGAGGTTCAACAAGAATAAATGATTTGTGCAAGGTCATTGACTGTTGAATGTAGCAGAACAGACATTCAAAACCATGTCTCTTGACTAAATTATTCTTTCCACTGTACTATGCTTCTTTTAAAAAAAGAAGTACAAATTTAACTTGGTAACAAACTAGAAAGTAATCAGGACATTATCATGATTCTTCTATTCATTCATCTGTTCACTCAAATATTTGTTGAGCATATGCTGTATGCATATGTTACTGCTATGAATTGAAGGAAACTTGACGGTGATGTTGTAGGGGGATGTGGAGCAGGAGGACTGACCTGGGTTTCAATCTTCCTTTTCATTACTTACTTACTATGTAACCTTGGGCAAGCCACTGTCTCTCTGTGCTGTATTTTCCACATGTGTAAAATGGGTTGAATGATATGAATTTTGTAACATATGGCACCTTTGTGAAATATACACATGTCAATAGGACACTTTTTAACTGAGTGCCAACAGGTACAGTCAATGAAGTCTGCGAGAGTTCAGAGGATAAATGGTCTTTCCACTATGATTGGCTCTAGCGATGTGGTCAGGGAAGTATTTTTAGAGGAGACAGGAATTGAGACTTAAAGCTAGCCAGGGAGGAGTAAGGAAGGGGATGGGAGAGGAATATCTTTCTAGTGAGGTCATATTGTGAATGAAAGGGAAAAATTGGACAAGAGTAATATTTACTTAGAGTAATTAAAGGCAGAGCCTAAAAGCTTTTATTTGCAATAGAGAGAGATAAGTGTGAAATGATGGTACTGAGTACCATGAAAACCAGGCTGAAAGGTTTGGACTTAATCCTTTTAAGAAAGGGAGTGGCACAAATTTAGAGTTAATTTGGGGCTAGAATCAAATACCCTGAGAATTGGAGATTTTAAAGGTCATCTGAATAAGGAACCCCTGGGCTGGAACATACCTAGTAGTTATCAAGCCTTTGCTTGGAAATCTCCAATGAGAGGCATCCTGCTGCTTCCAGACACAGCTCATTCTACTTTTGGAAAGCTCTATTTAGTAGGAAGCTTTTCCTTACATCAAACTTAAATGGTTATCTCTGAAACGTCTACTCATTATCTGTAATTTTTCCCTGGGGCAGAGCAAAACAAACACAACCTGTCTTCCACTGGGTGGTTATCCAGCTGTTTGAAGACAGCTGTTATGTACTGCCTTGTTGTAGTTGTTGTTGTTGTCTTTGTTGGTCAGTCATTCATCTGTGTTCTACTCTGTGACTCCATGGACCATAGCATGCATCAGACATCCCCAATTCCTCATATGGAATATTTTTAAGGTGTGGCACCATGCTGGTTACCTTGCTCTGGACACTTTCCAGCTTATCAATGTCATTCCTAAAATGGGATTCCCAAAACAGAATTCAATACTTTGAGTGTAGTGAAAATTCGTTGGGCCTGGTTACTGCTCAACCATTTTTAAAGATACAGAATTGTACTCTTGTCTAGCCCATGTCTCTTCATCTTGTCTATAAGAGAAAACAAACAAACACGTGAAACTTTGTGAAATGCTTCATTAAAATCTCGCTAAACTATATTCATTGCTTTAATCAATCTACAGCCTTGTTGCCTATCTTCTCTCCCTACCCGCCACCCCTGCCTAATGTCCAGTACTGGAACAGTGATCAAATCAACTCTCCAACCATTTTTGGAAGGAATGTGTCAATCTATTGTGGCATCTTTCACCATCCCTGTAACATCCCAGAATAAAGTAAGCCTATCTGGCCACCACTCCCCTTTGTTGATTTTCTCCCTATATTAGAATGTAAGTTTCTTGAGGCAAAGACTATCTTTTCTTTTGTATTTGTATTCCCAGCACTAAATACTGCATTTAGCACATAGTAAAGGTTAATGAAATTTTAAAATGAACTAATTCATTTAAAAAAAACATAATGAAGTTAGTAGCATATTCTTGATGATGTCATTCACTTTGGCTCTTTGTGATCACAGCATCCATTTTTTATAAGTTGTTCACTATCCCCTAAGTAAATTCTGGAATTTTATCTATAAGCCTATAGTTAATAGATTCTACTCCTCTTCCTCCTTTTAATGAGCAAGATAACATTTATCAAGTACCACTCATCTAATCCATAAGCTTTGAAAGATAAGTGATTCAGCAATAACATAGTTTAGTTCTTTCAGTACCCTAAGGATATAATTTGACTGGGCTTAGATACTTGAATTAATCAAAAAAAGCCAGGTGTTCTCTTGCTTATTTGTGTAGCACATTCTTTAATTTACTCTCTAAACTCTCACTTACATTGGGCAGTCGGGTCCCTCGAGCTCAGCTAGCTGTTTGTACCTTCTTTGCTCTTGGATAGCCTTGAAGTGTTGATATGTGTCTTTCTAATATTATAGCTCATGAACTCCCACCAGTATTTTTCCTCCTATGAACGTAGTCAGTCTTAATTAGATTTTAGAAAAGGATATTTACTAAGGTAGAACTATTATTATAAAACATCTGCCCCATTGAAAATCTGTGACGTACTATCCCATATATACAGACATACAGAGTCAAGCTTAGAACAGAAATAGGAAAGGGATAACTCCTGGAATTTCTTTTTTCTGGAGACATCAATATGTTCCTCACAAGCATGGTGTAGCTTTTTATTGGTCTCTTTGTAATCATCAACATCATCACCACCATCATCATCACCATCTTTATAGTATTTTAAAGTTTGTAAAGTACTTTACAAATATCTCATTTAATTCTCAGGACAACCCTGGGGAAAAGGTTCCATTATTTTCCCTATTTTACTGATGAGGAAACTGAGGCAGACCAAGGTTAAGTGACTTGCTCAGGTTTACTCATCTATTAAGTGTCTGAGATCACTTTTGAACTCATGTCTTCCTGATTCCAGGCCCACTCTATCCACTCTAACACCTATCTCCCTCCTTGTAGAGTATAGATTCTTGGTTCCTGATATTTCAGACACTTCCTCCAGTCACTGATATGCTGGGAATGCTACTAGGATGATAATATATCCCAATTTTTCATGTTATAAAGATCACAAGTGTCCCCTCTGGTTAAAGATGTTAGGTGTGGAGTGGGGAAGAGGAGACAGAGACATTCTCCTCTTCTCTAAGCTCTTTCTTCTCAGAGATTTGGCTGAAATGGTCCCTACCACTAAGCTACCAAATATGCTCAAATGCCTGATTCTAAACTAGCTTACTGATTTTATACAAACCCCATAGCACATGACTAAATTTCAAACAATCTGAATATTGGATCTCTGCCATTATACTTGGTTTTCAAATTCTTGCTGGTCATTTTGGTCTGTCCTCTCAAGTTCAAAGATTCTTCTTGGCAAAGAAAACAAACACAAAAATAAGAATTGAGCAGTTCTATTTTTTTCTCTGCCATGTTATCATTATCTAAACAGTCATCTTATTCCTCATTTGAACCAATACTTTTCTCTGATTTGGCTATAAAAAACATATAAAATAATATAACCTCCCAAAGTTTTCCTTAATAGCCTCAATTTCATATTAGCCTTAGTGCATAATAAAAGTAGCATTTTAGGAAGATTATTAATATGGCCATGGTGTGAGAAATGGATTGGAAGGGGAAAGACTTGAAGTGGAGAGACCAGTTAGGATCCTCAATAATTCAAGCAAAAAGTGATGATATATTGATGGCATAGTATTTCTTAAGAATGGAAAGGAAGGGATGAAGACGAATAATATTTTGAAAGAAGAACAAGTAGTGGGGTTTTCATAATTATTTTTTATTCGCCACTTATTATTCCCTTGATCACAGTATTTCATGTTTTAATTTTAAACTAATGGACCAGTATGATATTGGCAGTCTTGATGCCATGGAAAATGAAATGGATTTGTATTTACATGATTAATGTTCAAATATTGGCTCTAGCTTATATAACATGGACCAAGTCTCTTTGTACCTCTTAGTTTTAATTTCTTCTCCAGCAGCAATCTCCAGTTGAATCTGAGTCCAAAAACCAAGGCTCAAAGTCTGACTCTGTCACTTATGTCTTGTGTGATCTTGGGCAAATTCCTTAATTCCTCTAGGCCTTAGTTTTCTTTATCTGTAAAATGAAAAGTTTGAACAAGATGATGTCTAAACTCTTACTTAGCTCTAAATTCTCTGAAATATATTAATACAATATAATTTGTTTTAGCTAACAGTAAATATTTGAACAAGTCTTTCCCTCTTGAAGTCATCACAGTTGTCAGTGTATTTGTTGTTCAGTCATTGTCCAACTTTTTGTAACCCCATTTGGGGTTTTCTTGACAAAGATACTGGAGTGGTTTGCCATTTCCTTCTCGGACTCATTTTACAGATGACGAAACTAAGGAAACAGGGTTAAATGACTTGCTCAGTGTCACACAGCGAGTAAGTAAGTATCTGTGGTCACATTTGAACTCAGGTCTTCCTGACTCCAGGCCTACAGCTCTATCCGCACTACATCACCTAGCTGCCACTTACAGTGTAAACTGAGCTGGAATTCAATCCAAAGCCAGGCCAATTAAAATGAATACCTTCCAAAGAGATGCGTGGAGGTGCATAATGATCAGAAGAGACTCAATTAGAGATGGCAAGCCATTTAGAGAACATAGACATGCACTAAAAAAATCCTCTTATTGGAGCTTTATACCTTCTAGTTAATTACGTAATAACATTGTTCAAAATAATATGGTGCTAGAGAGTTTCTAACAGCAATTGAGGTTCGCGTATCTCTTTGTTTTTACTGTGTGTGCTGTGAGTAATTTTACAGACCACTAATTGCAATGCCACAACGAACAGCACAATTTCTAAGGGGAGTGAAGTTGCTACTATCTTCCAACTAATTACCCAACAAATTTAATTTCACAGTACAGAGAGCCTGAATAGCCACTGTTTACTAAAATTAACATTATAAATAATTGAACTGAATATTTAAAGAACCAACATTTAGTATCGTCA